CCCAGGAACTCCTGCAGGTCTTCTCTGAGGGTTTGCCTGCCTTGGGCATCAGAGCCCGGATTGTGGCCACTGACCTGGAAGAGAATAACATGAGGGCCATGAGAGCTGGACTCAGACCAGTTGGCAGACACATAAGGATGGGAGCCTGTATAGCAGAAAGGGGACAGATCTCTAGTGCCATACTAGAGGATGGGCAAGGAGGGTATGGTTCCACCACTTACTAGCCCTGTGAGCCTGAGTAAGTTATTAACCTGAGTCACAGCTTCTTTATTTGTAAACAAAGGGAAACGAACTCAACTCTCAGAACTATTAGGAAGAAAAGTAAGACAAGATATACAATGCATTTAGTCAGTGCCCTGGCAGAGTATAGTCTCAAAAAATGCTATCTGCTCTGCCAAGAACTCCAGCCCTGTCAGCTTCCAAGCTACTAGTTTTACTGGGCGTGACAGGGCCCAAAGAGGGGCTGCTATGAGGTACTGCAGAGAAAAAGAACCATGAGCTTGGCCTTTTTGGAAAGAGACCATTCAGCTTATAAAAAAAACAGCTGTCCCTTCCCAGAGAGGCACCCCCATGTTTTCATTACCTGCCTCTCAGAGCTTAAATTTAGGCTGGCTAATAAACTGGTTCCCCTCACCCTGGGTTTACTTGAGAGAAAGCTTGGTTCAGAAGGTTGTTTGAGGTCAAGAATGGGCACCTAGGGAACAGGCCCCTTCTCCTTCATCCTTACCCATCCTCCTTTTTTCTTTTTCTTTTTAGAGACAGGGTCTTGTTCTGTCACCTGGCCCGGAGTGCAGTGGCACAATCATAGCTCACTGCAGCCTCAAACTCCTGGGCTCAAGCAACCCTCTTGCCTTAGCCTCCCAAACAGCTGGGGATACAGGTGCACACCACCATGCCCTCCCTTGTCCATTCTTGATGCCAACACATTCCACGTTTCATCTTTCCACTCCCTCCCATAGTCACATTCCTCCTATCTTTCTTGGGAATACAGGAAAGATGGGATGGGAATAAAAGACAGGCATCTGGCTGAAATGTGCTTTTGAAAGAAGAAGTCTGGAACATGATGTGTGAATTTTCAATGAGAATGGTGAGTCTAAAAGTTCAGACCCCTAGGGGAAACAAGCGATGGTGGTAAGTTTCATCTGAATTTCTTCCAAAGATGTTGCCTATTCTCTGAACTGTGGGCCCACCATAATATACATGGCAGGTTCCTGGCCTCCAGGATAAGTGCTAAGGTCAAAGCAAGGCTAATCCATGCAAATCCCTCTGCTCTAGAGAAGAAAAAAAAAACACTCAAAAATCACAATTGATGAACAGCTCTGATACAATGAGAGAGACACCTGAAGATAGTAATCAGGAGACTAGACTTGCTAAATTGCCTGAGTTTGAATCCTGATTTTACCACTTACTAGCAGTATAATCTTATGTACATTTCTTAATCTCTTTGTGCCTTAATTTTCCTTATTTGTTACCTGTAACCCCAGTTACTCAGGAGGCTGAGGTAGGAGGATCACTTGAGCCTACAAGTTTGAGGCTGCAGTGAGCTATGATTATGCCACTGCATTCTAGCATGGGTGACAAAGCAAGAGTTAGTCTCTAAAATAGAGACACATAGCCGGGCTCGGTGGCTCAGCCTGTAATCCTGCGATTTGGGAGGCTGAGGTGAGTGGATTGCCTGAGCCCGCAGGTTCGAGACCCGCCTGGGAAACTTGGCGAGACCTCATCTCTACAATAAATCAAAAAATAAGCCAGGTGTGGTAGTGCATGCCTGTAATTCCGGCTACTCGGAAGGCTGAGGCAGAAGGATCGCTGGAGCCCAGCAGGTCGATAAAATAAAATAAAAGACATATAAGCACATGAAGAATTTAGGGGGTATCTGGAATATGCCAATAGAAGTTAGCTATTCTTCTTCTGAAAGTGGCTCTACCATTTAGGCAATAATATGTGAAGGGTCTTAAAACTATGTATGTCCCTTAAGCCTGCAGTTATGATCCTCAAAAATGATCCTATGTAAGAGTGTCAGTGTTATAAAGTCATTTAAAATTGTAAAAGACAATACTGTAAGAAAAGAATTGGCAGCTGTGGGAAACTGGCAGGGGAGGGAGGGGTACACCTCATCAACAAGGGTACCTGCATAATGAACATTTGTATACCTAACCCTGAATTGTACCCAACTTTAAAATAAAATAAAATAAAAAATAAAGTTGTAAAAGAATTGCAAACAACCCCAAAGTCTAAATAATAGATTGCTTAAATTATTGTACATCTATACAATGTTTTTGAAAAAAGGCAGGTTACTAAAAAGTGTAATATCTTTAAATGTTTGAAAAATATATATTTAGGGGAAAAATTAATGATATTCTCAAAATGTTGGTTTCCTCTAGGTAGTATGATTATGGATCTTAATATTCTTTTTGCTTATTTGTATTTTCCAAATTTCTGATAATGAATGTGACTTTGAATAAGCCATTTAACCTCTTGAAACCTTATCTCCAAAATGGGGCTATAATAGCACTGTGTATACAATGCTGTATCTTTCTCATGGTGCATGGTACTTAGCATAGTGCCACCATATAACAAGGGCTCAACACAGAGCAGCTGCTAGTGTGGTTATGGTGAACATCACAGCTTTTTAAAATAAGAATAAAGCAAGTTAAAAATAAGCAATAAAAAAGCCCAGAGCAGATAACTGGCTTGTCTGTTTCTCTCCAGGCTTCATGCCTATTTCATGAGCAATATGGCTGGAAGGTCAAGCAGCAGTGTCTATTGTGGCTCCATTTAGGCTGGCCTGCCCCACACCTGGTTATCTTGTTGAGTCTCAGGCATTTACCTACCTAGGATCTCCATTAGACTGAGAGCTCCTTGGGGGCAACACTCGTCTTCAACATCTGTCTCAGTCCACTGCCTGGCAATACTTAGTGAACTAAAAACTCAGCAAATATGCATTGGGACTTCTCTGAACCAGGAGTTGCCCATGAAGGATGATATAGGTATGAAACAGAGCTCCACAGCAAAGGGTGATTTGGAATCCTACAGGCCTTTTCAGAGAGGCAGAGACCTGGAGTAAGGGCATAGTTCAAGCACTCCATGATCTATTCATTCTGTGAATAGACCTATAGATATCCCTTATGTAGATCTATCCTTCCGTATTTCCACACAAATTATCCACCACATCTCTACACAGACTGACTTCTCTGCCTGGACTGCTTATTTTCCTTCTTCACTTGGTTAATTCCTTCTTATTCTTTAAGGTTCAGCTTCAAGGAACACATCCTCTTGGGAAGCCCCAGGTGGCCAGGCGTGGTGGCTCAAACCTATAATCCCAGTACTGGGAGGCCAAGATGAGAGGACTGCCTGAGCTCAGGGGTTCAAGACCAACCTAGGCACCAGCCTTGTCTCTACAATAAATCAAAAAAAATAAGCTGGATGTGGTAGTGCATGCCTGTAGTTCCAGCTACTTGGAAGGCTAAGGTGGAAGGATCACCTGAGCCCAGCAGGTCGAGGCTGCAGTGGCAGTGAGCATGCCACTGCACTGCAGCTTGGGTGACAGCATGAGACTCCAACTCAAAAAAAAAAAACCCCCAGGCTTCTATTGAGCCTCAATAATTCAGATGACAGAAACATCTCTCAAGACTCCCTCTTAGCTGGGCTCGGTGGCTCAGCCTGTAATCCCGTGACTTTGGGAGGCTGCGGTGAGTGGATTGCCTGAGCCTGCGGGTTCGAGACCTGCCTGGGCAGCGAGACCTCATCTCTACAATAAATCAAAAAATCAGCCAGGTGTGGTAGCGCACGCCTGTAATTCCTGCTACTTGGAAGGCTGAGGTGGAAGGATCGCCGGAGCCCAGCAGGTGGAGGCTGCGGTGGCCGGGAGCGGCCACTGCACTCCAGTCTGGGAGACAGAGTGAGACTCCAACTCAAAAAGAAAGACTCCCTCTTTAGGGTCCTCAAAGTGACCTAAGGATTCCCTTGCTCATCCCGCTTTACCCTCCCAAGGTAAAGAGCTAAAAAAACAAACAAACAAACAAAAAAACCACAAGAGAGATTCAAATGAGACATCACAAAGAGTGTCTTGATGATGGGTAAAGGGCACTGGGGTGATTATCAGAAGACAGAAACGAGAAACCTTAAAGGAGTCCTTCCCTTCCTTCCAGGAAAGTGCAAGCAAAAGAAGGTACCGCAAGTGTTTGAGGGCCTGGGTTATCTAAGGTTGAAGTTTTACCTGCTGAAGCATTCTCCTTCAATGTGGTCAGCCAGGGTTCTGGGTCACAGGAACAAGGAGTACCATCCACCTGGTCATGAGGCCATGGGCTGGGAAATGGCTTCAGCAAAGGACTCACGGCTGGAGAAATCCAAGACGCGTCACTCCAAAGCCTGTGGTATGAGAGAGAACACAAGGACTACATACAGGTGAGGCGTTTCCAGGGTGACTCACTCCTATTCCTCCCATCAAGAAGAAGAAACCAAAATTAGAACCAGGGCAGGTCTGGGCACAGAGTGAGTTTGTCCTTTCCCTGCCAACTAGGAAGGAGAAGAAACCTTTATGAGCCTCCAGAGGCTCCCCGGGCCAGTTTTATTACATGGTTAGGGTTAGGGATGGGCTGCAAATCTTCTGGGTCACTATGCTGGGGAGGATAAAAAAGACACTTGGAGAGACAGAGAAATCTTGTGCCTTATCCTCTACACCAGACAGAAATATCTATTTCAGAGTAGCCATTAGTTGGTGGGAAGGGGAGACTGGAGTCAACTCTTTGATGCTCCAGAAAAGCTGCTGCGTGGTAACAAAATCATACGTCAGTCATTCACCTATGACCTTGGGTAAGCTACATCACATACCTCAATACTTCACCTTGAAAATGGGGACAGTAGGGGAGAAGCAGAAAATAAATAAATAAAATGGGGACAGTTAAATCTGCCTCACAAGGAGTGGTTATGAAGGTCAGTGAAGTCATAGTTTGAAAACACTGTGCAAAATGCAAATATGAATATTCCCTCAGAGGGTGAATATTGTCAGCACTACAACCAGGGGTTGATAATCCATTTGGGAGCACTAATCAGGTGGAACCATCCAGTGTCACCTTCAAGAAAGTGAGGACTTCAGGGAAGGAGAATCCATCTGAGGAGGGAGTATTGTGAGGTTGGGCCTAGACCAATCTCTGAAGAATGTGACCCTCAGACCTGGAACTTGCCAGACCTCCCCTACCAACGAGAGATGAGGGTGAGGGGTGCCTATAATGGATTAACCCTGGTGGAAACTTTTTCAAGGCTCTGAATACATCTAATCTTTAAGAACCAAGGATAGGCCAGAAACAGTGGTTCACACCTATAATCCCAGCACTTTGGGAGGTCGAGGTAAGAGGACTCCCTGAGCTCACAGGTTTGAGGCCAGCCTGGGCACTTGGCAAGACCTCATCTCTACAGCAAATCAAAAAATTAGCCGGGCGTGGTGGCGCATGCCTGTAGTTCCAGCTACTTGGAAGGCTGAGGTGGAAGGATCGCCTGAGCCCATCAGGTTGAGGTTGCGGTGGCCGTAAGTGTGCCACTACACTCCAGCCTGGGTGATAGAGTGAGACTCCAACTCCAAAAAAAAAAAAAGAACTGAAGGATAGGGACTTCCATGGAAGCTGGAAAAAGGACAATTCAGAAAGGGACATCAGGGACTGTGTTGGGACACATTCACTCTGTACACTGACTGTTTCCCATCCAAGTCCCTGCAGAGGAATCCAGAGACTCAAGAACGAAGCTTCCTTCAGTAGAAGCTCATTGTGAGGGACAGGTGCAGAGGCAAAGCACAACAGGTTGTGGGGTTAGAATCCAAAGCTCACAGCCCCCCTCAAGTAGATCACAAGAGCTTGCTAAGACATATTGTTTCCTCATTTGCAAAATAGAATAATTATATCGAGACCTCACAGCGGCAAGTTAAGGATGAAATGAGCTAATACCTGTGAGAGCACTTTGCAATGTTGGTTATTACAATGCAGGGTCTGCTCCCAGCTGGAGTCAAGTAAGATTAAGGCAGTTTTCTCCAGTTCTCCCAGCTCCTGCTCGTCAGTTTCGCGGTTACCAGCCAAGAATTTCTGGAAAGGGCGTGACCACTGCGGGCAGAAGGCAGATGGTAATAAGCACATGGAACACTAAGTCAAGGCAAGTGGAAACCCGATCACCAGTTCCTCCTCCTCCTCAGCTTCAGGTTCTTCCTAGACACGCAAAGGGTATACAGATGCCTAGAAGGGCCAGGTAAGGGCCCTGGGAAGCCAACTGTCCCCCCTCCAGATTCCCAGCAGGAATCGGTGACTCTCGGTCTGGGCCACGTGCCCGCCACGCCCGGGATTGGGATGGCGCTCCGGAAGCACCTGGCACGGAGAGAGTACGTCCTTCCCAGGAAGGTGGATACGACCCAGCCAAGGGCACAGCTGCCCTGACGCCTCCCGGGGCCAGCCGCCCCCACCCCCAAGGCCCCAGGGCAGGGCGAGGAGTTGAGTGGAGCACCCCCCCCACTTGGGGCCGCCCCCTGCCGACCAGGTGAAAAGTGATCAAGAAAGGTCCTTTCTTGTTCTAAGTAAGGACCAAGAGCTGGGCTACCTCCTCATGAGACACGAAAGGGTCAAAAAGAAAATGGAAGAGAGAAGGGGGAACGACGCTCTGGAATGGGGAGCGCTGCGGTCCAAACGCGTTCCAGCCCCCTCGGGATCGCAAAGGGCTTCAGACGTAGGCTCGAGGTGGCACTCACCGGTCCCACGACCCGAGGCGCTGAGCGTGCGGCCCCCGCCCGGCCAGACTGGAAAGACAGGAGCACCGGGTGAGATGGCGGGAAGAGCCCCGGGAGGGGAGGGGAGGGGAGGGCAGAGGAAGGGGCGGGAGCGAGCGGGAGAGAGGGCGGGAGCGAGCGGGAGAGAGAGCAAGTTGGAACCGCTGAAGTGCGCCAGTGGCGGCGGCTGGGGTGGAGTAGTAGCGCGGGCTGGCTCCTCCCCCAGGGCGGGGCGCGCACGCCTGCGCACGTGGCTCGCCCCGGACGTGGGCACCGGGCTTGCGAGTTCCATCCTGGGCTTGCCGGCTCCGCCCCGGGCGAGATGCCGAGACCCTGGGGCGAGATTAGGGTGAGACGATGACCCCCGCGTCCTGGGGATAAGCGCGGAAGCCCGGCTCGCTGGGCCTCCGGGCTCTCCCGGGCCCGTGGGGCCTTTCAGTGGAGGTCGCCGCAGCCGCCTCGTGCGCAGGTTCCTGAGACCCAGTCACCCTGCCCCAACCAAGCCGTGAGGTCTGACTGCCGTTGTGGGGCACGTGACGCCGTTTCCTTCCCAGGCGCTTCTCTCATGGTCCGGCTCACGACCGCGGCCCGAGAGGATCAGCGCGCGCGAGCCCGAAGCAGAGGAGGACGACCGGGGCAGCCCGCGAGACACTGGGACCGGCGCTGGCCCGGGCGGGGGCGCGCGATAACTGTCGCCCGGAAGAGCAGGCTGCGCGGCCGGAAGCGCCGCTAAGGAGGCGGAAGCGCCTGGCTTCCCCGTGGACCGGCGGATGCAGCGGGATCCGGGCGGCATACGCTACCCGATGCCGGGGTCGCCTACTCCACTTGGAGCTCGTGAGGTATAAGGGCAGGGCGCAGCCGGTACGGGTTATCACCATGTTGCCCAGAGTGGTCTCGAACTCCTGACCTTAAGCTATCCTACCACCTTGGCTTCCTAAAGTGCTGGGATTACGACGTGAGCCACCGCGCCCAGTTTGAGCTTTTATTTTTAAAGGCCAACTGTTTTGGGTTAGTTATCGTGGGGTATTGTTGCGGATCTCACTTGGGCCATAATGCACGCGTGCATACATTTACTTACTCAGTGTGGTTCACGTTTGACCCAACAAACGTGTCCTTTTTGTGCCAGTTTTCAGACACTAGCATTGGCAGAGGTGTTTTATATTCTTTTAAAAAAAAAATTGGTGGTGGTGTGCATCTGTAGTTCCAGTATTTGGAAGGCTGAGGTGAAAGGATCGCCTGAGCCCGGCAGGTTGGGGCTATGGTGGCCGTGAGCGAGTCACTGCACTCTGTTGCCAAAAAAAAAAAGTAGCTAACGCTAGTATGTGCTATACCCATTCTACCTGTCTCCACCTTAAACTGCAAACGCAGCTGCCTGTAAGTAAGGGAAGGAGCAGCCCGGGCCTCCGGAAATCACTGCAGGGCCCACATTTGCACTAGGGCCCTGCAGTAGGTTTAGAGAGACTGTGACCGGGCGCTGTGGCTCACGCCTGTAATCCCAGCACTTTGGGAGGCAGAGGCAAGAGGATTACCTGAGCCCAAGGGTTCGAGACCAGCCAACATGGCGAGGCCTCGTCTCTACAATAAATCAAAAAATGAGCCTGGCATGGTGGCGCATGCCTGTGGTTCCAGCTACTTGGAAGGCTGAGGAGGAAAGATCGCCTGAGCCCAGAAGGCCGAGGCTGCAGTGGATCTGAGCATGTCACTGCACTCCAACCTGGGCGACAGAGTGAGACTCCTACTCAAAAAAAAAAAAAAAAAAAAAAAAGGCTCTGAACTGAAACCAAAGCCCTCAACTTCAAAGTGTACTTACAGCTCCCCCACACCTCATTAAAATCATTCATAAGGTGCAGTTTTCATTAGATAATCCTCATGACATATACTGTGCTCTATAATAGAAATTCCTATCCGACTGGTGCCATTCTTAGGGTTTATATCCCAAATTCACTTTCTGAATCTCTCTTATAGTGAGGCTACTTTTGTAGCCAGTAATTTCATACTGCTTGTGTAACGTTCCTGTCCTAATGCATCAGTGTTAGGCTTCTTGCCACAATCCTGGGAAGAGGAATCACGAGTCCTAGATTCTGCCCCTAACTTGAAGTCATTAGCCCTAAGATTCTGCTCTGATTCTAGGAATAAGAGTAAAATTAAGTCAGGGACATATATATGCCAGTTCCTCAAGAATGTTCCTTTTCACAGATCCCTTTTTGCTTTTGTCTTCACAGGAAGAATAATGTCTCAAAAGCAGATGAAGGAAGCTTTTGTCAGTAACCTCAATGGAACCACTGTGCTAGAAATCACCCAGGGATTGTGCTTTCCTGCATTCTGTATCCTGTGCAGAGGGTTCCTGATCGTTTTCTCACAACATTTGTGTTCTTTTTCACACACCTGGAAAACTAGATTCTTCATTGACTTTGTTGTCCTAGTAGTTCCTCTGGTGACCACTTTAACCATTTTGGCTTCATTTATATTCCTTGAGCTTCTCACAGTAATTATTGTTGGGGCAGGGCTGTTCTATCAAATATACCAAAGGAGGACTTGCTATGCCAGAGTGCCTGTCCAGAAAATCCTTGAAGAATTCTTGAAAGTCAGTCTAGAATCAGAATACGTTCCAGCTATCTCTAGTTTCCGTGTAATTATCAGTGTATTTACTGCTATTGCTATTTTGGCTGTGGACTTCCCTCTTTTTCCCAGAAGATTTGCCAAAACAGAGCTCTATGGGACAGGAGCAATGGATTTTGGAGTAGGTGGCTTTGTTTTTGGATCTGCAATGGTTGGTCTAGAGGTCAGGAGAAGAAAATACATAGAAGGGTCCAGATTTGATTATTTTGCAAAGTCATTGTACTCTGTTTGGCCACTAGTTTTCCTAGGAATTGGAAGATTAGTCATTATAAAATCCATAGGATATCAGGAACATGTAACTGAGTATGGAGTTCACTGGAACTTTTTCTTTACCATGATAGTTGTGAAATTGATAACATCATTGCTTTTGATTATTTTTCCACTAAATAAATCCTGGATTGTAGCTCTCGGCATTATTGTATCATACCAGCTAGCACTGGACTTTACCCCACTGAAGAGGTTAATTTTGTATGGCACTGATGGTAGTGGCACAAGGGTTGGTCTATTAAATGCCAACCGAGAAGGAATAATCTCTACCTTGGGGTATGTGGTAATACACATGGCTGGTGTGCAAACAGGTTTATATGTGTCTAAGAACAGATCACATATCAAAGACTTGATGAAAGTAGTGTGTTTTCTTCTACTGGCAGCTATTAGCCTCTTCATATCTCTTTACATAGTTCAAGTAAATGTAGAGGCAGTATCTCGAAGAATGGCCAATTTAGCCTTTTGTATTTGGATAGTTGCTTCTAGCCTAATCCTCCTTAGTAGTTTATTACTGGGTGATATAATTTTGAGTTTTGCCAAATTTCTAATTAAAGGAGCTTTAGTGCCTTGTTCCTGGAAACTTATCCAGTCACCTGTTACAAATAAAAAGCATTCAGAATCTTTAGTGCCTGAAGCTATAAAAAAGGAACCCAGTCTTTGTTTAATCACAGCTCTAAACAGAAAACAGTTAATGTTTTTCTTGCTGTCAAATATAACAACTGGCCTGATCAACCTGATGGTAGATACATTACACAGCAGTACCTTATGGGCCTTATTTGTGCTCAATCTCTATATGTTTACCAACTGTTTAATTATATATGTGTTGTATTTGCAAGATAAGATTACAAAATTTTAATGATGAATGGGGTAGGATGTATCTGTATTTGAGCAGTAGTATTTCAATGGGATGGAATAAATTAAATGCAAAGAAAATATGCTTTTGGCAACCCTGCGTTAACTATATTATAAAGTTTTTTTGTTTTTGTTTTTTTTGAGTTGGAGTCTCACTCTGTTGCCCAGGCTGGAGTGCAGTCTCATACTCACAGCCACCCCAGCATCAACCTGCTGGGCTCTGGCAATCCTCCCGCCTCAGCCTTCCAAGTAGCTGGAACTATAGGTGCACGCTACCATGCCCAGCTAATTTTTGATTTATTGTAGAGATGAGGTCTCAGCAAGTTGCCCAGACTTATCTCAAACCCGTGGGCTCAGGCAGTCCACTCACCTCGGCCTCCCAAAGTGCTGGGATTACAGGCTGAGCCACCAAGCCTGACTAAAGTTAAAATTTCAATCCTCTATAACAGTAGTGATGCTTAATATTTTAAATATCTCAACACTAAATAAAATGAACCAATAAAGAAACAAAGCCTTGTGACTTGTTAGAATTTTTTAAATGTCAGTATTTTAAAGAAACTACAGTTTTGACACTGGAAGACTGGAGGGTAGGAAGGAAGATTTTTACTTTCTACCTTAGTATCACCTTATGTCATTCTATTTTTTATTGTATATTTCTATAATAATTACATTAAATGAAATATTTACATTAAAATGTTTCAATGTGAATTGTCAGTACTTTACTGCTCAACTTTAATTTTTTAATAAAATCTAGAAATAAGAATCAAGTGTTTAAAGTCAAATACTCATATACCACAAAGCCAGAGTTAAATGCTCCAAAGAATAGACTGAACTATATGATGTAGCTTACACACATAATAATTATGAGAAAATAAAGTTGTGCTTTGGGACTAATGTAAAAAAAACCATGGCTATATTAATGTTTAACATGTTACTGTCTAGGATCATTTAAAAACCCTAAGCTAGCTGGTTACAGTAGCTCATGCCTATAATTCCAGCACTTTGGGAGGCAGAGGCAAGAGGATTGCCTGAGCTCACAGGTTCGAGACCACCCTGGGCAACATGGCAAGACGTCTTCTTTACAATAAAAAAAATACCCGGGCATGGTAGTGCATGCCTGTAGTTCCAGCTACTTGGAAGGCTGAGGTGGAAGGATTACCTGAGCATGCCACTGCACTCCAGCCTGGGTGACAGACCCCAACTCAAAAAAAAAAACAAAAACAAACCCTAAGTGGACCTCTGAGCCTGTTGCTGTTGACAATTCTAAAATTTTTATTTTAGAGACACGAGCCTGATGTTTTGCCTAGAATAGCACAGTGGCCTGATTCTTGTTCACTGCAGCCACAAACTCCTGGGCTCATCTGATCATGCCTCTGCCTCCAGAGTATCTGAAGCTACACATGCACACAACACCCTGATAATTTTTTAAAGTTTTTTTGTAGAGATGGGGGTTGGGGGGGGGCTTCACTTTGTTGGCCAAGCTGGTCTCGGACTCCTGGCATCAAGAGATCCTCTTGCTTTGGCCTCTCAAAGTACTGGGATTACAGGTGTGAGCTACCACATCAGGCCAAAATCTAAGATTTTTAAAACCCACAAAATTCTTAGTTTCCAATTCAGTGTTCAATGCATTTCACTTGAAGTGGGCAAATCAATTTAAATTTGCCTTTAGTTCTGTTTTCAAGTAGAAATTTGACTATTGCAGAAATAGCTAGAGGTCAGAATGTTTAACTTAATTTGATATTTGGTAAACAATCTGGATTATTTGTGTAGTGCACAGCAGGTGGAGCATCCTCTGATATTGTGGATTTGCTGTTTTAATTAGTTGCCTCCAAATTAGTTAGAAATATATCTTATTCCCTAATTTGTTAAATATGACTATTGTACTAATTAGCTTACATCAATTTATTAGATTGATGGCCAGTTTAGCATTTATGTGGTACTTTGTATTTGCTAACTACAACCACTTACATTTGGAAGGCTGGGCACAGTGACTCATGCCTGTAATCCCAGCACTTTGGGAGGCCAAGGCAGGAGGATTGCCTGAGCTCAGGGATTCCAGACCAGCCTGGGAGACATAGAGAGACCTCCAAAAATCAAAACAATTAGCTGGCCGTACTGGTATGCACCTGTAGTCCGAGCTACTCATGAGGCTAGGGTGGCAGGATTGCCTGAGCCTAGGAGATAGAGGCTGCTGTAAGCCATGATTGTGCCACTGCACTCCAGCCTGGGTGATGGTTGAGACCCTGACTCCAAAAAAAAAAAATTACATTAAAAATTTACCTATTATTGAAAGCAATTTTCCCTCTAGAGAAATCAGTATATTGGGATCAGGCACATGCCTGTATATTCACAGTTGGTTATTCAAATAATAATTGAACTGTATAATCAGTATTATACAGGTTTTTCTTTGTTTTTGTTTTTTTTGAGTTGGAGTCTCACTCTGTCCCCCAGACTGGAGTGCACTGGCCGCTCCCAGCCACCGCAGCCTCGACCTGCTGGGCTCCAGCAATCCTTCCGCCTCAGCCTTCCAAGTATTTGGAACTACAGGCGCGCACTACCACGCCCGGCTCATTTTTTAATTTGTTGTAGAGATGAGGTCTCGCCAAGTTGCCTAGATGGGTCTCGAACCCGCGGGCTCAGGCA